AAGTTGAAAACTGATTGCTGACAAAACATAAAAACAAACGGGCCTTTTCAGGGTCAGGCATGGATCAATAAATCCAAATGCCACGCTGGAATCTTCAGCTCCAATGCCTAATAATTTAATCTTTGTTGGTTACCAGGCCATTTTCTTTTTATGGTGTCCATGGATAATATTCCTGGTCTAACCCGGTGACTAAAAGTGTTAGTAAACGAATCATCACACGAATTTAAACATTCTAATATATGATCAAACTTCTGGGAAGCCGGAAGCACTGTTAATCTTGATCTTTTTTTTTTTACAAAACGTATTCATCATATGCAAGCTGGCTCCACCATCTGGCCTCTCTCTATGTGTGTGTTCTGGTTCGTATTATTAATTTTTTCTTGTGCTCTGGGATTTCAACTGGTGTAAACAATTTAACCAAGAACCAGTGAGGGATAGTGGCAACATTACCAAATAAACCTTTTTCCACGTACATGAAGGACCCCGTTTCATTACAGTCTTTCATTTTGCTAAGAATAATTCACCTCATTAGAAACAACCCCGAGTATAGCACCAAAATGTATAGTGTGGCAAAAAGAAAGGGTATATTTCTTAGAACAACTGGCGTATGAAAAAAAAAAAAACCCTCTGCTGTATTTATCATATTAGATATCACAAAACGTGTTGACTTCTAATCTGTAAAAACAAACATGGCGCTAACTAGGACTAATTATGCAGGCTATTTTCAACTCCTTCTATGTTACAGCTCGGTTAGTTAATGTAACATTACTTGTTGTACAAACCAGAACGTAGAGAGAAAACTTGATGCTCGAAAACGTTGTTTCTTTATTATTGTGGACATTGGACACTACCAGATATAAATGTATAACTTCACTACTGTAGCAAATGGTGGCCCCGAGCGGCCCATTCACTCGGCATCCAGGCCCACCTAGTGAGAGTCTGGATAACGATTCTCGCGTTTCTATCAGTACTCTATAACTTGTTTCCAATGGTTTTAATAACCTCCGACTGTCCCTCGCAATTCAGGGCCCATCTGGCTACGCTACTGATTGTAGGTAGTAACGTTTTTATATGGGATTCATTTGAATACACGAATATAACACGTATAACATTTTTTGTTTATGTAATCAACACACACTTTCCTTTCAAGAACCATTTGGTTCTTCTGGGAGGAAATTTATTCAAATCTATTCCAGTTAAAGCTTAGCTGAGAATGATATTTCTACACAGTGAATACAATATACAGGATATGGAAATGAAGGAAAATTCTACTTAAACTCCGAATACTGATGCAACAATTCTTATTCCGTGAATGTTAAACATTAAACCGTCGAAGTTCTTAAAGTCAGGCAAAATATGACGTACACGTCATCAAATGTGGTTTACAGTTTGTCACGTTTGTTTTGAATTTCCCGCTAAGCTACACGAGGACTATCTGCGCTAGCCGTCCCTAATTTAGTAGTGTAAGACTAGAGGGAAGGTAGCTACTCATCACCACCCACCGCCAACTCTTGGGCTACTCTTTTTACCAACGAATAGTGGGATTGACCGTCACATTATAACGCCCCCACGGCTGAAAGGGCGAGCGTGTTTGGTGTGACGGGGATTCGAACCCGCGACCCGCAGATTGCGAGTCGAGTGTCCTAACCACCTGGCCATGCCGGGCCTATGTGGGTTTACAAAGGCGGTTCCCAAACTTTCTCACCAACTGTTTTGTGTTATGACATTCTACATCATCAAATGCTGTTTAGAACGGTGGTTCCCATCCTTTGTGACTAAATCTTTGTAAAACGCTCCCGAAGCGTTAGAAGTATGTAGACCTATAATGTTGTCTCCTAATTTAGTTGCTGAAGTTAAAGTTATGAGCTAAGAAAGAAACGCCCTTTTTTTCACGCATTCCCGAAACTTGTACAAGTTATAGATTTCACGAAAATCGAGTCTTCCGTAAACCTTGCAAAAAAAACAACATGTCCGCAGACCGGTTTCAGCATGATTCCAATGAATCCTGGGCGGGATTAAACTGAAGAGAAGGACGCAGTTGCTTATGAACCCACGTTGTCCAGAGATCTACAGCTATTTTTTAGGATTTGTTTGTTTCCTTGGAATTAAGCCATCTTCGCTCTGCCCACCACGGATTAAATAGGACTACTCAGATATTTTTAAGCATAAAATTGTAGTATTTTAAAAGCATTTTATTTGGTCAAAACTGTTTTGATGGGGAAGATTTCAAAGCAAAAAAAAGTGTGGGCTTGTGAAAAAAAAATGGGAAGGGGCAACAAAAACGAAGTCGTTTCTGGACCCTCTGTGGTCTTAATCTGTCCATGATTGGATAATTTTCGTTAAGCGATCGTGAAGCCAATGTATAAGCGCAAGTACAGCTAGGCTTAAACTGTCTCGACTCGCAATCTGAGGGTCGCGGGTTCGAATCCCCGTCCCACTAAACATGCTCATTTGTTCAACTAAATCAGATCAGGGAATTTGGGGGCATATCATCTGCTGATGGCGCCCCCATAACTCGCAAATAATAAAAAAAAAGGCTTAAACTGCCTCTACAGGTTATCAACTTTATATGACTGCTAGTTACAAGGAATGCATCATTGTCTGGAAAAAAGGGGGTGGCCACAATGTTTAAGGAAGGGCTAATAAATGTACATTGATTTACTTGTTTTCTCCACATACATGTATTGTTTCCATTATACGTAACTGTGTTTAAAACACTTCTAACTCATGAAGCTTTCAACTTATCCGAAAAAAAACAACAAACTTATTTTATAAATATAATAAATGTAAATAAATTGAGTTCGTCAGTTTCACTCGCCTACATCTGAATTCACCAATGTATTCAGCACGTGCAATATAAATAGGACCATGCCTGTTAACCCTAAGAATTAGCAATATCACACTGAATTTTAAACATTTTTTTTTAAACTACTTAATCCCAGATTTCGTTCGTTGCAGGATCCCTAATATAATAGGAGTTACATACAAAAAAAATCCAAACACAAATACAATCAACAAGGCAATTTATCTCACTAATTATGGCTGGGACACCCTATGTATTTTACACAGAAATTGAATGATTTCATCCAATTTATAGTCAATTCTTTACGCTGTATGTTAGAACTCGTAAAAAAAAAAACAACGACAAATTACTATATATATGATGGAAACCCTCATCGTTAGCGAACGGTATAAAAACAAGTTGGTAATTTGGGGGTGGATGTTGTGTGTGTGTTTATAAATTACGTACATACGGGTCACTGGGCGGGCTCAAGCCCCTGCTTTCCTCTTATTATGGCCCAAAACTGTCCTTTTTCTCAGTCATAAAAAAATTTCCACAACTAATAAAAGACAAGCCTGATTCCATGCTGTGCTTGTTGCGAGTTAGGTAAAAAATATTTCAGCTTTGAAATTAATGACACACACGCAGCGATACTCTGAGAGAGAGAGAGAGAGAAAACTTATTAAGAACAAACATTTTTCTTTTTTGTGAAGGAAATTTTGCAAAAAAAACAGGACTTCCTCTGTCGACTGATTGAAAGAAATATTTCGAAGAAAGGAACGTGAACGGTAAAACTCGCATAAAGAGAAGAACGTACTTAAGTATATATATATTTTTGTTTAGCTAATGTGTGTGTGTGTGTTGGTATTACGTACATGCATTATTTTATTGAATCATGTCGAATAAAGTGAACAGAATTGAATATCTCCCCTTTGACACTTCTTATGGAAATTCCAACTGTCATAAAGCGGTTGCGGTCTTTTCTTGCGCTCATGAAAATGACAAGTAACGGTGGCATACAGCGTAAAAAAACAAAAAAACAACAACAACCGCGGCTACTTAGAGAACCAGATGAGCATTCTATTGTGCTGATGCACCCGTTGCATCGAGACCTAAATATTTTTGCCAACAATACATTGTAGTCAGTATGCTTTGCTTAAAAAGAAGCACAATTTTCCTTATTGAAATACTACACGAAATGACAAAATACAGTTGTAAACTAGACAATCATATTGCATATACGCTATGATCTGAGGCATTGGGGTGATTGTACATTTTTTTATTATAATTAATCTCCATTTTTATGAAACATACCGTTGAATTGTTTCAACGGCCATCTGCTAGTTTAATATAAGACGCGTTATTTTTATCCATACGGATTAGAGTTAAAACGATTGGTCAGCTGTACTCAATATATATATATATATGGCCAGTTAACGTTTTGTTGAATTTTAAACGTAACTGTAGTTGATTACTGACGTAAATAGAACTTTTAAAATGTCGACCCGTTATCTTTTCGCTTCGTGATGGATAACAGCGTCCTTAAAGTTTTGGTTGACCATTACGCATGCGCTGCTACATTAGATTTTTAGCCGCGGCATAGTGGCTCCGAGTGTTTTTTGTTGTTGTTTTTTTTAAGTACAAACTTTTAGCTCATAGCTCCATCTCTTTACCAGTTGGTCAGCAGTAAGTCTCCGGACTTATAACGTTAAAATCCAGGTGGACAAAATGCAGATAGTCCATTGTGTGTATCGTTGCCCCAAAAAACCCAACAACAAGAAGAACAACAACAACCCCCCCGTGGGTCAACTATGCTGAGACCCACGAGAAACTACAGTATCCGAGATTCATAGTGTTCGGATTGCGACCGAAAATATTCTGTCGTATGAATGTTATACAACATGATTAAGTTTTTAAAACCCAACAAGAAGAACAACAACAACAACCCCCGTGGGTCGACTATTCTAACTGAGACCCACGAGAAACCACAGTATCCGGGATTCATAGTGTTCATAGCGACCGAAAATATTCTGTCGTATGAATGTTATACAACATAATTAAGTTTTTCATAGCTATGGACGGGTAGATTTTGATAGTATTGCAGTAATGAGGTACAGAACTAATTGAAGAAGTTAGTTAATTAATAAGTATTAGAGCAGGGCGACGAGTACAAAGCGAAAAATGGCGACTATATTAGAAGAACATAATGTACACTTACCTGCCACACCCCCACAACAGCATTGGCGATGAGAATAAGTAAGATAACAAAAGGTTCAACGAAAGCTGTGATCTGCCCTTCATTTTCTTCAAACAAGGCTAAACTCTGTAAATAGGAAACATGAATAATATGAAAACTTGATAATTTAGACAATTCGTGAATAATGTAACTGTTACAGTTCTTATATATGGAGTAATGTAACTGTTACAGTTCTTATATATGGAGTAATGTAACTGTTACAGTTCTTTTATATGGAGTAATGTAACTGTTACAGTTCTTATATATGGATTAATGTAACTGTTACAGTTCTTATATATGGAGTAATGTAACTGTTACAGTTCTTATATGTGGAGTAATGCAGCTGTTACAGTTCTTATATATGGAGTAATGCAGCTGTTACAGTTCTTATATATGGAGTAATGCAGCTGTTACAGTTCTTATATATTGA